GAGATCTCCAGATCTCAACCCAATCGAACACCTCTGGGATGAACTCGATCGACGTGTACGTCAACGTCAGAACATGCCATAGACACTTAAACAACTGGCCAACGCGTTACAAGCAGGATGGTGCAGAATTCCACAGGACCGAATTCGTACACTTCGTTAGTGCCGAGGAGATGCAGAGCTGTGATTGCTGCCCGGGGCGGTCACACGAGATACTGAGTTCACCGCTACCTTGTGGCCTTATGTGACATGACAATGAACAGTTTTCAATGCCTTTGTACAACGACAACATGTGACTATAAAATTTCTTATTTGCATCTATGATATTAAATTAAATATATCGACTGATGAGTCAGACGAGATGCAAATAGGTTCACTGAGAAGTGACCCATCCTCTCTTTCAGTTTGCTCAACAGCGAGCTATCAAGCATCCAGTCGTGGCCATCCACTGGATTCCCAGTCTACCTGAATGTTCTCCACTCCCGGAAGATAAATAGCACATAGATTCAGGTGTTTTTTCCACACAACACTCCCCTTGGTGATTCACGTATGCACCCACTGTTCGGTTGTGTATCTGTACCTCTATGTTCTTATTCTCCACGAAGAGAGGTCCTCCACCGTAAGCATAGTAAGGTCTTGAGATCTGTAGCAATCGGGACTTGGAAGTAAGCGCCCTTAACATCCAACTTGCACATAAAGTCGTTTTGTCTTATCAAGTCCTTCAGGAGATGAAGACCTTCAATCTTGAAGTACTGAAAGGTATGTATGCATTCAGTGGTTTCAGATTGATCTGCCGATTGATTACAAATGCTCTTAGTCTGCCCCAATGGAAGTCTAAGGATGTCTGAGAGGTTGTAGATCTTGCATGGACAGCATTTGGGTCACTACGACACTTGGCTCTAAACAAACGACGAAATCTGGGTACCCACCAGGGTCCAATTGCAGAAAAAATCTTAGTTACAATTGAACGCACTCAGCAATATTCCAGCTATATGACGGCGGACTGTAAATAATCGAGTCTGGACCAGACAATCCAGTGATTGACATCATGAGTATCAATCCACGCAATTGGGATACGATGATATGCATCAACCAAGTCAGCGAGTCTGACAACTCGATCCCGTTAGTGGCCTCTTACGACAAGCATAGTCGTTTTTTTCGGCAAACATGGGCTGCTGAAGACCTATTCTACGCCAGATCTTCACGGACTACTAGAATGATGGTATATATTTTTGTAGAGATTGATACTGTCGTGATTCAGGAATTGTTTGATATTGCAACTAGAAAGATACCTACAAATGTTTCATTAAAATTATTGAAATACGAATAAATACATTCATAGATGTGTCTCTAGATTTAGTGACATAACTATTATGAAAGTTAAAATACGATTTCAAGAATGCATGGACGGGAATTAAGTATAATAAAAAATATTTCGAGAAAGCAGTTGTTTAATATATATTTACTGGGGGTTAATTGTATTAAAACTTATTTTTAAAAGTGTGAATTTTACTTTTGCTGCTTATGGGATATTTTACAAAACAATTCAAATTTCTCATCATGTGTATTTGCTTGTTTGATGAATACCTGTATTTATTTCTATATAATTCATATATTGAAACCACTCGTATTTGCCCACTCGATTTTAGATGTGAACATTTTCAAAGCACTTCAACTTGTATTTATTTGTAGATTAATTTAATGATAAACAAAAGACAAAATAACTGACACGAATGTGACCCAAAAGGAATACAGGGGAGCTCAGCGATTCTACAAAATTAATACACTGGGCAAGGTAGATTCTACTCTACAGGAGTACACAAAGGAAAACCACTACCATCTAGAGTATTAACTAAGATTAGCTGCCCTGGACTCCAAAAAGGTCAAGGACGTTACTAATCGCTTGCAGACATCTTAGGTTTTTATCCTTCCCCGACATAGAAAACGTCCCCGAAAGGTTTCCATTTTCCCAAGGCCGACTGCAAACTAGCATCATGTTTTAAGATGAGCTTTTTTGCTTTTACCTTTGGGGTCCCACTGAATGCAACATTATCTTTTGAATGACCTGCAAAGTCTCATTGGGTACAGAGAGATCATCAATGATATTCTCCTATAATTGGCTGTCTTTTACAAAAAGTAGAGAAAGATTTCTCAATTTGTTTTGACAAATGGGGAATGCTCGAGGCAAGAGAGTGAAAAGGCCACGTAATTGTCGTCATTGTCACAGCAACTCGATAAATTCCCGTTAGGATTTTGAGATGCCCCCTTCTTCTGAAAGGGGGTTCAATTTCGAAATAGTCAGAAGAGCTATCCGAATGTTTATCAGACTTCTGGTCGGAGTCAAGAGTCTAGAAATTGAGAATCTATTTTTCATACGGACGGAGGACGGTCCAGCTTCTGGTTAAGACGATAGACCTGAGTCAGCCATGACTTTGTTAATGCATGTCATCGATCCCAATTGCGTCGATTGATGCTCATAATATCAATCACTGGACTGTCTGGTCCAGACTCAATTATTTACAGACCGCCGTCATATAGCTGGAATATTGCTGAGTGCGGCGTTATACAACACACACACACACACACACACACACACACACACACACACACACACACACACACACCTTTACTCACTCGCGCTTAGTGACGTGGTTGACAGTGTGGCTTTGTAACCCGACACCATGGGTCATTGCTCATATCAATCACTGGGGGCGCTGGGGGTACCTCCTTGCTTGAAGCCTAGGCTCGTCGGACTGAAGACCCGGATTCGATTCCCCACATGATATAATGTGGGAATGTGTCATTTCTGGTGTCTCAAACCACGATATTGCTGGAATATTGCAAAAGGCGTCGTAAAACACTCACTCAGCAATATTCCAGCTAAATGACTGCGGTCTGTAAATAATCGAGTCTGGACCAGACATTCCAGTGATTAATATCATGAGCATCGATCCACCTGTTGGGATCGATGACATGCATCAACAGTCAGCGAGCCTAACCACCCTATCCCCTCTAGTCCCCTCTTACGGCAAGCATGGTTTGTTGAAGACCTATTCTACCCCGGATCTAGAATCTAGATCTATGTAATTAAGTACCTACGTGCAACGACACATTCACAGCCATTGTCGAATCCCTACCATCACCGCGTTTTGCCAGGGCAGTTGTAGTGTATACAAACACAAAGTATTTGCTTGAAGGACAAGATGTGTGTTGAGAATAAATCATTACCTTACAGTCGACAACTCTTCAGCCATTATTACACATTGATTGTCCATATTGACACATTAAAATTCTCAGAAAGATTAAACTACAGATAATTGGGAAGCCTTACATGTAAACAGTATGACAAATATAGAGGATTCATCACGAGTGTTTTTTAATATGGGAAATATCAACCGAGTCTTAGTTAATCGGTATTTGCCGAGCCTTTGGCGAGGCAAATACCGATTAACGGGACGAGGTTGATATTTCCCATATTAAAAAACACGAGTGATGAATTCTATTTATCATTTTCACATTTTTGCTTCCAAATTAAGGAATAATTGCATTAAACATTAACATCAGCAACTTGTCGAAATCTTACGTATAGATCGTGCGTAGTGATACATGTTTTCCATAGCCATGTAAACCAAAATAAACAATTCGCTGAGAAAAAAAATTCCTCGGATTATTTTAAACAAAATACTTGAACAGACTTTTGCAGAATAATTGAAACTTTAATAACGGTAACAACAACGATTCTGTGTAATCTGATTATATCTCTGGTGTAACTTCACTTATAATATATAGTTTCAAATCAAACCGCTCGCTCTTCCGGTTATCTAATTTGCATATCTAATTTGCATACTTATGTCATTGGGGTATGACATACATGTTTTTATATCATAAGCTTATGTCATGGATAAATGCTTAAGTTAAATGATAAATCCCTATACGTTCATGAAGAAGCATGGAGTATTTTCATTCCGTCTAAACAGCGTTGAGTTATTCAGTCTTATGTAATGTAAGTTCAACAAAACTAAAATTGAATTGTATGATTGAATTGCACTGCATCTGTAATATATTCGTGAAGATCTTCAACAAGGAATAGGTTTTCAGCAACCCATGCTTGCCGTAAAAGGCGACTATGCTTGCCGTAACAGGCGACTAACGGGATCGGGTGGTCAGGTCGGTTGACTTAGTTGATGCATGTCATCGATCCCAATTGCGTGGATCGATGCCCAAGTCGTCAGTGACTGGATTGTGTGGTCCACACTCGATTATTTACAGACCGTCGTCATATAGCTGGAATATTGATAGTCATTCATGAACACATGCTCATGATATAATCGGTATCGTACTATCGACTCTGCTTTATCAGTAATAAAGGATTACAATCCGACTTCAATATGGTAGATACAAACATGACAAGTTTTCAACTACATTGGTCACGTGGTACACAAGAGGATAAAAAACATTATTTTCACTATTCATATTTAAAACAACTCGTGAATTTATTGAACTACATGGACAAACTGAAAAAAAGTATTTTGTGTAAATTATTGGGAGATGACACTTAATAATTTTAAAGAATATGTGGGTAAGTGAATTAACCCTCTTTGCACATAATATCATCTAGATTTGGATAATACTTTCTCTGATAACAATGCCACTTTCCAACTAACATCGAAAAGACAAAAGCAAAATGAACTAGCGAATCAAGACAGGTCTCAATTAAAACATTTTTCATGTTTGGTGCGCACTATGCTCTTGCTAGTGGTGGGATCCCCTAAGGCATATAAGCATTAATGCATCTTGAGTGGTTACTTTCCATAAGTCGCCCTCCTCTGATACATCCTTGCCCAATCAATCGATTAAGTTGCATTAATGGTCTCGAGGGTGCTACACTTCAGTACGACTATGAGATAATGCATAACATGTAGAGACACATGCATTAATTACGTACAACGGGCGTTGCTATGGTCTCACTCGATACACAAACGATATTGATATAGATTGAATATCTTATTGCGGCTTACACTATAAAATATTATTTGGATCTGTTGGACAGGTATTATGTATCGTCTTGGTACTGATTGGATTCTTTGTACTTTATTTCTGATTTCTTCCGTTGCTTCAACTAACGCCATCGAGAAGACATGTTCTCCTATTACTCAACTACCAGTTGTAACCGGAACAAAATTGCATGGAGCTGTGCTTGAAAAGTTCACAACTTCAGGAGTGGTTTCTTGTGCCAAGGAATGCCTCTCAAGACGAGTGTGCCTGTCCTGCAACTTTAATCTTGATGACGGCACGTGCGAGCTCAATAGTAAGGGTGGCACTGTCATCAATGGAACAGTGTCGTTAAAGACAGAGCCAAGCTACGTGTATTCCATGTCATACAATTGGCCACAGGTTGGTATGCTTGACATAAATAATGCTATACATGTCGGTATATATATTTGCAGAAGATAAGGGAAGGGGTCTATGATCATGTCATTCACTTTAATAGCACCATAACAGGACTCATAATAGTTTGTAGCTCTTAAGCATCATAATGAAGACTTAATCATGTGTATACACATTCGATTGAGCAGTATTCCATACATAGTATGACTGGTCTGCTTACTGTGGGAGGAAAGTTCTTTGTACACCAAAGGTACCACAAACAATGATAAGATGCTTACAAACTAAGTATCATAATCAGGGATTCGAACTCATAATTCTGACTCTGACATGCTTAAAGGGGAAGTGTACACGCAAAAATCACTTTCTTTCTTTTTCTAAACAAAACGCAATTTTAGAATTAATTAGTATCTGTGTTTGAAAATATACACTCATTTTTTTCACAGTGAAAGTAGGAAGCTCACAATAGTGTGAAAATGATATGCCGTTATGAGGCCTTCGTTTTTCGAGCTAAACAGGCCTGAGTTATCCCCCTTAGATTATGACGTAATTGGTGCCAATTCAACTGGGTCCCTGTCTATTCTCAACGCAAAAGATATCAAGTACCAGTTTGCGGTAAAACAACATGGTCTACGACACACTCCGGCGCAGTGGTGACTCAGCATAACACAATTCTGGCTGGCATCTGAGACGCTAGAATCACAAAACTGTACCTACACCACGTGAAGCGGCTCTAACAAAGCATGATGACGTCATAATGTTTATCAATTGGCACCAATGACGTCATATTGCAAGGGGCATAAGCCATGGTGTTTTTGTTATGGAAATAGAACACTTGGTAAATGTGAAAAATATAAATCGTTTTAATGCAAAAAATATGTTAATTAAATATGATGTTTTTATATTTTTGTCTATGACACTTCTATGTTAACACTTTAAATGTTGAAAAAGTACAAGAAAAATTGGTTCATTTCCGTGTGAACTTGCCCTTTAAGGGACACATGTCTGCTCTGTGTTCAAGTGAATACTGTTGATAGGCTGTCTTGTTTACTGATCGAACTTGAGGACTCAATATTTTCAAGAGACTGGCAATATTGTTTTCACTGAAGTTCACTAAAACATAATCCATTAGAGTAAATCTGAAATATTTCAGCTCAGTTTGAATTGTTACAAATTGCCACCTTTTAAAAGGTGACATTGCGTTTGTGTTTTTCCCTCAGAATATACTTGGTGTTTGCCAACACCACATCTGTGCTATCAACTCGCGTTGTGCAGAAACAGCGGACGGTGGCTGGGAGTGTGTTATCACATGTATGTAAACTTGTATTTTCTTGTGTATTCTGTTTAACTGAAACCATACTACATTGCATATTCAATACAGAAAGACAGCAAATATTATTGGATTTCTTCAGAAATGAATGTTTTAGAGCAAACTGTCAACTGACCATTTTCCGTAAAATGTTAAAAAAGGTTGTCCGTATTCCCTTCATATTTCATTCACGAATCTCGGAGAATGGAATTGTTTTTGTTTTAATCGGGATTGCACGTGCTTTTAAAAGAACATTTTGTAAATAACTTTAATTCTAACTGTGACCGACCAAACGATGCAGTTTTTGTAGGAGCATTTCCCAGAAAATAGCCATGTATACATAATTATGGATATAAATTAATATGTTTCAAAATTGATACTTACAGATTGCACGGATCCACCTACTGTTGAATATGCCAATGATATCGATTCATCTATCAACCACGTCACGGTGGTAAACTGGTCCTTGACCCTGGAGTGCATTGTGGGATACGTACCATGTGGAACTATGACGTGTAACCCAGATGGAACATGGACTCGTGTGACTTGCATGCGTAAGTTGACAACAATCGTTTGCACAAACTGTATGTTGTGTTGGTTTATGTTTCATTCAATCGTTAAAGTCTTGCACAAACGTTCAAATATACTTTTAATTGAATATCTGTTATATGATATTGATTATTTCACTGTCAACGTTGACATGATTCATAATATAATATAGTGAACCGCAAAAGAAACGTCAATCCAAGTAACATTGCATGAGAAGTTGACATTGAAATATCTGGGTTATTTTTGGCAATGTTTCTAAAATTTAACATTACCTTGTCCGGAAAACTCAAATTTGATGACAATAAAACTATCTATCTATCTAAATCTATAATACCTATTGAGGATCGTCTCATCAGGACCACTGGTTCAACAGATGGCCAGCCAACTCTACAAGCTATTAATGATATCAATTTCTCCTGATGAACACATTTAGGACGTCTACGCGTCCATCATCGACACGCACACTCTACCTACCTTGGTTTGCAGGTTTTTCATGACGATATGCACGCCGTGATGTCTTACTGCCAATAACACTGTCCACCTGAAGAACTCTTTATTCATATTGCTTCAGCTGTATCGACTTGTACCGAGGTACAGCAGCTTAGTCCCTCGTACACTGACGGAGAATACTGGCTGTACCCACGACAACTGAATGGCGCCCGAGTGAAGATATACTGCCATGGTATGAACAGTACAGCTTCTGAGTACATCTCTCTGAGTACACCCTACTTCATGGACGGTCCTATGGTGGCGAATCCTGGCTGCCTTGGGGAAGTCCCGATTTTGAATCCCAACCCATCTCTGGGTTATCATGTCTATACAAAGTTTGGATTGAACATCGAGGTAAGGCATAACTGAAATGTTCATGTTGCACCGTAGCCTTTAGTTCAAGAATAACGTTTCCATGGATTCACAGAAAATATTTGAGACAAATGTCGCGTTGTCGACCTTGTTGATTAATGGTGCACATGCGTAGCAAGTGAATTAATCTACGAATGCGGCGAAATGGTTTTACTCCTTTTCAAACTCCAGCGGTGATTTGTCAGCTCCAATGGTTCTAAAACCAAAGTACCAATGGCAATGTGGTTTGCTTTTCTCAAAACGAAAACCAATTGTTCATCGTTGCTTTAGAAATTAGTTATATGTCGTTATGTTTTGTGTCGGTTCTCATAAACCAAACGTTTTTGGGTTTTTTTTCACAGCAAGAAACAAACACTTTGCATTTCCATTTGATTACGATCTCCTAATTCTTTTTTTTAAATGACACACGGTTGGCCCTGTCGTTTTAGACGGCGCAGTTCGCTGTGCGTCTCCTAGACGTACCAGAAAACTATGACCGCGTGTTCGAATCCAAGAAACATACAACATTCAAACTTTACATAGCTTCTTGGGTGGATCTTATTATGGAGAATGGGGTCAATGTCACCAGAAAACTAATATACCAAACATGGAATATATGATAATTCATAAAAAATAAATAAATAAAGAATAGTACACAATGATCATGATATCAATCTTCTTTATCTTAATACTGAAACGTCACAGGTTCATGGCATAAGCGGAGAGGTTGTACATACAAATTATTTTCTAAATGGCAAGGCATGATAAATTTACATTGATAAGTTACGAACTGAAATGAGTCAATACAAATTCTGTTCATAACTTATGAATGTATATGCTGTTTGTTTGTTTGTTTGTTGTTTAACGCCGCACTCAGCAATATTCCAGCTATATGACGGCAGTCTGTAAAATAATCGAGTCTGGACCAGACAATCCAGTGATGGGCATCATGAGCATCGATCCACGCAACTGGGATACGATGACATGCATCAACCAAGTCAGCGAGCCAGACCACCCGATCCCGTTAGTCGCCTTTTACGACAAGCATAGTCACCTTTTACGGCAAGCATGGGTTGCTGAAGACCTATTCTACCCCCGAATCTTCACGGGTCGAATGTATATGCATAGGATTTAAAACATATCAACGAAGTAAAACTTGACCTGAAGCCAAAATGTTTAACGAAATTAATGCACTTGCTCAATACATAATGCTAAGAACAAATGACTCATTTGTAACTCCGTTTGAAGATTTAGGGACATCAAAGAAACATGTAAAATAATACAGGAAAAACATGACGACAAATAATGCTTTTAATATATGATGCATTGTATTTGAGATTGACGTTACCTAATCGCATCATCATCCACAGACACTGTCCATTAAAGTAACAGATCGAAGATTTTACAACAAAACAGCAGGCATGGATGCCAATGTGGGCGTGGTCAAGGACTGCTACACCCTCCCAGACAGCGCATGTGGCCCACGTGGTCGGGCAGTGATGGACCTTAGAGGGACAGGATTTGCTCTTGATGGATTGGTCAGTTTCGAGGTTTCGAGGTTATGTCTGTAAATAATAGTCCCGACCAGACAATCCAGTGATTGACATCATGAGCATCAATCTACGCCATTGGGATACGATGGCATTCATCCATTATTTCAGCAAGCCTGACCCGCTAGTCGATTCTCACGACAAGCATAGTTGCCTTTTACGGCAAGCATGGGCTGCTGAAGATGTATTTTTACCCGGATCTCCACAGTTCTCAGTTTCAGTTAAGATATGCATCTCAAACCAGAAAAGGAATATTCATTTTATCCATTCACTCAGTGAAGTAGCCTGTGATCTAATTAATATGATAAAGATTGCATTTTAGTCACCCATGTCATGTTAAATACATACGTGATACCCGTGAAGATCCGGGTAGAATAGGTCTTCAGCAACCCATGCTTGCCGTGAAAGGCGACTATGCTTGTCGTATGATGCGACCATCGGGATCGGGTGGTCAAGCTCGCTGACTTTGTTGATGCATGTCATCGTATCCCAATTGCGTGGATCGATGCTCACGATGTCAGTCACTGGATTGTCTGGTCCAGACTCGATTATTTACAGACCGCCATCATATAGCTGGAATATTGCGGTGTTAAACAACAGACATTCAAACATACGTGAATGTCTTTTTTCATTTTATTTAGCAGTTAACACAAGTGAGAATACAGTGTAATTTGTCTTAAATTGGTAAGACCTGTTAAATAGAAATAATATATTTAAATCTGATTTGATTTAAAGTTAATGTGTTGCAAATTGTAGGAATTAATATCACAATGTTTTGTACTTTGTAACTTTCCATGAAAATATACCAGTGTTCCCCTCGTTTTTCCTAATTATCCCAGGTAGCATGGACGGTCGTAGGTGATGGTTGGACACCGATTGTGACTCGGTCTTCAAAAGACCAGGTGATTGAAATACGCTGTGGAGGAAGATGTGGCAAATGCTCTCCTCAAGACACTCTACGACTCGTCATGGTGGAGTCTGATGGTAAGTTAGCTAAATGTAACGATTTTCAACATCACTGGTGTCGTATATTACTCAAAGTCTACAACAGAACTAGTGTTACATCAGTGGCTGCAGGAACACCAACACTACATGATCAAATGTAGTCCATCAGCCAGACTGAGTGCAAATGAGTAGATGTGAGGTGAGGTGAGGTGAAATTGGGTTGATTGCACTTATTGTAAGATTATTGCACTTATATAGCGACGTGCATACACGTGTGTGTGTGTGGCTGCTTGTACAAGTCCGGACTGATGTCGATTTATAGTTCTAGCCCACTGATATACCATGCCGCAGTTTAACATGAATACTCCACTCAGACACTGTATACTGACTCCGAGCCGACCAGTCCTTCTTTTAGCCCCTTAACGCCGAGCGCCAGACAGGGTAACAACAAGTACCATCTTTTAAAGTCTTTTGGTATGACGCGGCCGGGGAACGAACCCCGGACCTTCTCCGGGCGGACGCTCTACCAGCAGACCAAATATCACTGAACACAATGTGTGTCACTGCAGTGTGCCCATCTGTTTTTAGTCATCATGCATGCTTAAATGATATAACTGTCACTCACAGATGAATTTTGCGATTCGCCATTGCTGAAAAATTTGGAAAGATGTCTTACCGCAGAATTGCAGAAAAATCGCTGAATTTGTCTTATGCTATCACACTATACGCTAATGTGAATTATTTTCAAGCTTATCTATCGATTTTTTCTCGAGAATGATACCCAAACATTTAGCATGCAATTCTATCGTACACCATATGAGTGAGTGAGTGAGTGAGTTGGGTTTAACGCCGCTTTTAACAGTATTCCTGTTATATCACGGCGTGTCAGCTTAATGTGGGAGGAAAGCCCGAAGTGATGCAGGTCTCAGACGGTACACCATATGAATCCGTCAATAACGCGAAATTTGAAACACACCATTCTCACTATTAAATATTCTTGTGGTATTACAACACCATAAATTATGTTTTCATCTAACGATAAATAAATATCTTAAGCTATACATATGTATTTGCAAACTTTTATGTCTTGATAAGTCTAAATGCTGGAGATTAAGAATTTTACACAAAAACAAATGAGTTTGTATTAACGTTTGACTGGGAAATGGTTATATGTTTACCGCTGAATTCGTCTGGGACTGAATCGGACACTGTACAATGGGCTTATGACTAAGGAAAGGGCTTTGTCACTTATACGGGGTATCTTTAATTATTTAACATGAACAAATAGTTTGTCCAAATAATTGCATCATTAACCCAACCATTGTCTTACGGACTTATAATCAGAGGTATTACCCACGTGTTTGATAGTGTTAGTATGGAGATTGTGAATATATCATGAGCATGTGTTTTTGAATCGCTATCAAATAGTGATGATACCAGGTGTTCGCGAAAAGGTGGGAGTATCCTGCCTCACCTGTGGCACCCGTCACAAACACATGCAATGGAAAGTCAATTGATTTACCTGAAAAAACACGGGAACATGTGGTCGAAATCAAAATGGAGAATTGCATCGGACATCATTCTTGTCCTTTATGTGTCAAATTTGAAACGTCCTCAAAATGTCTACCTTTAAAAGTTTTGAAAGTTTTAATGAAATCTCGAATATTGTAACTCTTAACTTCGGAGGAAGAGTTGTATGACGCTCTTTGAAACTGTGGTGGAAACATCAAAACTTCTGAAATGTAGACACCAAAAGAGGTAATCAAGAGGGGTCGTTGTTTTCATTGTTTTTTATCTTTTGCAGTTCCACGAGACAAGAGTGCCCTGACACCACAATGTGACCCTTCACATACAAGACAGCCCTAACGGATGGACACAGGATGGGCCCTGTTGAGGGCACTAGCATATTCCATGCAATTCCTGATAGCTGTGCATACTAAATCATGATTTAATGTTCTTGAGACATAGTGAGTGATAAAGTTGGCTTTGACGCAAGTTGTAAAAGTATGTCCGTTAAATCATGACGTGAGAGTTGATTTGGGCTGAAAGACCGAATGATGCAGATCTTAGATGTTTATCACTCCTGATAAAGGGAACCTGGGACTCACGACAAGGATCAAATATGTAACTGGTTCAACACCGCAGCAAACTATTACACACTATTTTGCCAATAATAGGAATAAAATAACTACAATAATGAAAATAGTTTTCATGTGGAGAACTCCTTGAAAAGGTTTTACATGATCTCCATATTGCTAGAGGGGCAGGGGTCCCGGGTGGCCCAGTCGTCTAAGGCGCCGCGATTCGCTGTGCAGAGTTGGGCACGCGAGAAACCTATGATTGTGGGTTCTAGTCCCGATCCGTCCCGATTATGTTTCTAGGTTTGTCAGCACCATACCCGTGCTCGTGGCTTTCACCGAAGTGGTAAACGTCTGAGACCTGCATCACTTCGAGCTTTCCTCCCACATTAAGCTGACACGCCCTGATGGAATACTGTTAAAAGCGGCGATAACCCCAACTCACTCACTCACACTCACCCATATTGCTAGATGAACTACATCTCCAATGTACAATTTGAAATTCATGTTCGATAAGTCGAAATATGTTATTTCTGATATAAGCACTTCTCTATTTCTGATATTATAACCTCCTCTGACATTGGTATCTGGATAAGGTTCAGAAACCGAAGAAGACCTCAGAAGCAAGAATCGATAACATATATCTTAAAGTATTTTTCTTGGGAAAGTTGAAATCTTATGTTCAAATAAAATGACTTCAAGTTCCTATACACGTTGCGTCAAGTATTTGAAGCATTACGATCAGAGCCCAATTTGAGCTTATTGAGACTACATGTTCAGGCTCGCTGACTTTGTTGATGCATGTCATCGATCCCAATTGCGTGGACTCGATTATTTACAGACCGCCGTCATATAGCTGGAGAATTGCTGAGTGCGGCGTTAAACAACAAACCAACCAACCGAACAAAATAGTGACACTGTACAATATTGCTAAGGAAAGACAACCTCGACATCAACATTCCCAACCATTTAATAAGAACATTAAACAATACACTATCACAAATGGGACGAGCTTGGTGTACTGCTCATGTACAGACATAAGCTGATCTTAAAAGCAAGTACCGTATTCGACGTAATAAGCGCCCAGGGAGCTCTCAAAATTAGAAAAAGGGGGCTTTTTAAGAATATTAAAAGATAAATTTCGTGGTTTATGCTGACAGCCTGAAATGTTTTTGTACGACAGATATATTTTTCCAGAGTTTAATTGCCCATAATTAAGTGTGCATGTAACACACGAGTGTGTATTATACGCGAATATATAAGTCTCGTGTACATTGATCAATCGGAAGGGGTGCTAATTAGGATTGTTCACTGGCCAATATATAAGCAAATATCGCCGTGGGCACTTATTAGAGCGTGGCGCTTATTACGTCGAATACGGTTAGTGGAGCTTCTGGTAAAACCATTACCTTCTGATCAGGGCGCATACCTTGTAAAAAGTGATGTAACTACCACATCCAGACAATTGCTCTCATGGTGTAACTGTATACAATACACACTTTGTCAGCACGTACACATTGCCATTACATACCCAGGATGTACAGTACATTCACCCTGTACTCTTAAAAGAACCGACTGCCTCCGTGGTCTAGTGGTAGAGCGTCCGCCCGGAGAGCGGAAGGTCCGGGGTTCGATCCCCGGCCGCGTCATACCAAAAGACGTTAAAAGATGGCACTTGTTGTTACCCTGTCTGGCGCTCGGCATTAGGGGGTTAAAGCAAGGACTGGTCGGCTCGGAGTCAGTATACTGTGTCTGAGTGGGGTATTCATGTTAAACTGCGGCATGGTATCTCAGTGGGCTAGCACTATAAATCGGCATCAGTCCGGACTAGTACAAGCAGCCACACAAACACACACATGCATGCACGTCGCTATATAAGTGCAATAATCTTGGACGCGACGTTAAGCCCAATTACACCTCACCTCAACTTAAAAGAACCCACTTATCCTATAGTAGATGACCAGATGGTGGACACACGATTACCTGCATCCATCCGAAATACAAGTGTCAAAACGTGTGGCGTGACGTGGGCAAGAAACTTAATTCAAATGTGCCTGTGTTCACCCAGCAGGGAATGGGTACACGAGATGTGACGTGGGTGTAAAAACCCGCTCGCGCCCGTAGGCAGCTTGGGTTGTATACTCCCCAGATCAAATTATCAGAAGTACATTTATATATAAACAATCCTTTCGTTTCCTTACTTTTTTAGATCAAATTATCAAAAGTACGTTTTTAAATTAAAGATGCGTTCGTTCCTCACCTTTTTAGAACAAACCTAAGCGAGGAAAGTTACTTTAACCTAAACACCTACACAAATATTACTCAGTGGCTCGCCCGAGCATGTCGATTGACAATAATGTCAAGTTACATATTCACAGTTTAATTACAATTACTATTTATTACAATCAAACTAAACGAGGATATCTTAAATAGCAACGCAAATGCCTAATGGAACTCTTGGGTATAAATGGTCCGTAACAGTGCAAACCGAACATAATCGGACAAATTTCTATACTGATAAGGAGCAAGGCCAGGAAGAGACGATAAAAAGCATATATTTTTTTAAATAAAAAGAGACAAAACATTACAATAATCATAGAAAATTTCAACCAAAAGGCCACGTCCATTGTAGGATTCTGACGAAATCATAATCATGGACCGCCTTCATAGAGCTTGAATATTGCTGAGTGCGGCGTTAAATAACAAACAAACAAACATAAGCATGCCTTTATATACCAATACAAATAAGATAGTAATAAGAAAGATCTTCAGCTATATATTATCTTGTCCTAACGGGCGAAAAAACATATCCTTGCCAGCTCCGACGTCTAAAATAGTAATCTCACTGTTTATGCTGTTAGCGTCACACGTACCATCAGTTACTATTTCACGTCACAGTACGGGAAAGGAACAACACATACAGGCAACTTGTAAACTACCAACAATATAAATACATCATGTCAATACATAATTGGCTGTCCATTACAGGACGCAAGACCTTGAAATTTATATATTTCCCATTACTGACGCGCACAGGAGAATTCTCAATCAAATTAAACAATTATATATTCCTTTTCGTGTCGACTCAGGCTTGGTGATGACACATCCAAAACATAAACAAAGCCACTTAAACACTAAAAATTACGTCCAATTAATATTACAATACGACAAATTCAACCACAGAAAACTGTAAGATTTGTAACATTGTGAAAAATGGAACATTTTGAAATTTGCAGCAGATGCAAATAGACAATTACAGTTTAATAAGATAATGTTATAAATCCAGACTCCAGTACTTGAATCTGTCATTAGAGGGGCGGTCGGGTAGCCGTGTGGTTAAAGCGTTCGCCCGTCACGCTGAAGACCCGGGTTCGATTCCCGACATGGGCACAATGTGTGAAGCCCATTTCTGGTGGCCTCCGCCGTGATATTGCTGGAATATTGCTAAAAGCGGCGTAACATCAAACTCACTCACTCACTGTCGTTAGATCCAAGTCGACATGGTATTTGCCTGATAATAATAGGCTTGGAAATTTGTAGATAATTTGATAAACTAATAAATGTATAGTTTCTAATGTATAGTGACCTAAAGTGTGAGATCTACCTGCGTTTCTACCGAACATGGCAATGGATTGAATTCAAATGGAACCATATCTTCCGCTTAGTCATTGTCTAGATAACTTGTACCATATGTATGTAGCGATGACCTATGCAGGCATGACCTATGCAGTCATGACGCTTTGCTTAACCACTGTACATCTATCTGACATATGATAAGCGTCTACCTGCGTTTCTACCGAACATGGCAATGGATTGAATTCAAATGGAACCATATCTTCCGCTTAGTCATTGTCTAGATAACTTGTACCATATGTATGTACCGATGACCTATGCAGGCATGACGTATTGCTTAACTGTACATCTATCTGACATATGATAAGCGTACACTCTTATGGAGAACAAGAGATATATCGATCTGTTAAGCTATCCACAAAATAACGAACAAGCATTAAACAACCAGTCAATTAAAATGTCCTTGGTTCACTTGTACAAAACAATACAAGGCTATTGGAAGTATAAAATGTCAATGCAAGAGAATAACCAGCCGAGATGTTTCTGCAGAATCAGATTTTGTTTGGCGTGAAGGGCAAATATCCGTGGAAATTATATGAATGGACCACTGAGTGAGTGAGTTAAAATGTAACGTCGCATCGGCACTATGTCAGCCATATGGCGACTAAAGGTAAGGTAAAGGGTAAGCATGTCCTGCCCTACAGGTAGCACCCACCATTCATACAAACTGCATGAAAAAGTAATTATAGCTAAAATGGATAGAATTATCATTAAACCGCCCGCACGTTATCAGAAATGAGCGGGCCACTGTAACTTGATAATGCCCTCATATTACTTGACGACGGGCCATTATCACGCCCGTTGTTAGGTGACGTCATAGGGTTGAGAAAATGACGTCACGCATTATAGTGACGTCATCTGGTTTGTTCTATGACGTTTCCATATTTGTAAAATGTGGTCAGTGACATTCGTGTTGATTGCAGTAAATGTTTCAAAACCGATATTGTTGTTTCTTTTTATTTGATAACAAATTCCATCCATTTTAGCTATAATAACGGTAACGCTCTCTTTCAGGGCATTATCATTTGCAGAAGCCCTCGGTCTTTTCAACTGCCCTCCTTCGTCAGGCAGTTAATGAAAAACCTCGGGCTTCTGCAAATGATAATGCCCTGAAAAATAGCGTTACCCTTATAATATTTATTGCCTGACACAGCATTGCAGTACTTCTGACAATCAAGCCTGTGTTGGAGTACTGGAAAAAATATGGTCTTAGCCTTAAATTCGCTTTGTGCATGTGGGTTTTGGAATGAAAGAGCCTTGATGTGGACAGCTTAAGTTCGAAAAAATTTAAAATTTAAAAAAGAATAAGACAGCAGTGATATAGATATAATTCAAATCTTGACACGCTGTTAATGAGGTCGTCTCAATTTATCGCATTTTGCCATCATCCACGTTAGAAGCCTGGTCACATGTGGGGATTGTTGCACTGTTTTCTGGTAGAACTGCAAAATAAACAAAATGAGATCAAACACTACACAACGATAAACCAGCACCTCAGCAATCATTTTGAAGTTAGTGTCAATGTCATCGACATTAAGACAGTTATACCTGTATATTAATATATGCTTAACTGCAACGGTTACGACAACTTTACACTTATTATATGTATGTTTTCTTCAGTGATAGTAGTAATTAGACAGGTAGACACTCCTAATTCACTATTGAAGCAAC